CCACCCTACCCCCCCCCCGCTGCTACACCAGCCCTGGGCTCCCCGTTCCCCCAGCTCTGCCGGCGCCCCTCAATCCCACCCCCCGCTGCTATGCCAGCCCTGGGCCCCCCCACCCCCCAGCTCTGTTGATGCCCCTCAATCCCATTGGCCCTCCCCCCGCTCTACCAGCCCTGAGCTCCCCACTGTTTCTTCGTGCAGGTTCGCTCCTCCATCCCCATCCAGCGGATCTGCGCCGTGGAGAGGGTGGACGAAAACGCCTTCCAGCAGCCACACATGATGCAGATCATAACGCAGGACAACGAAGGGCAGCTGCGCACCATGTACATCCAGTGCAAGGCGAGTTCCCGCCGGGGAGGTGGCCCTGGCAGCGCGGTCACCAGTCTGCTGAGCCAGCGCCACCTGCTGCCCAGTGTGCGCCTCTGGGCCAGCTCTGGGAGGACAGGGCCTGCCAGGACCCCCACTTGGGGGCCTTCATGCTTTAGTTCAACCCATGATGGCTCCTAGTGTCAGTGGGCCCCTGGGATTTGGAGCCCTGGGCAGTACCACCCAGCTGCCAGGTTGGACTTGTCGGGCGGGGGCAGCAGAGGGTCTGTTCCATTGCTTTAACCGAGGCCATTGCCAAACTGCAGGGAGGGGGGGGGCCGGAGGGGGGGCAGGATTCTGGCTGGCCATGACATGAGAAAAGAAGGAGGGGTGAAAATCTGGATGAGTCGCATCCAATCCATGGATCACACTGCAGCCTGGAACAGTCTGTGCTGAGGTGTAGATGGGGAAACTGAGGCACCAAAGGAGGCGGGACTTGCCCAAGGTCACCCAGCGGGCCGGAGTCAGGACTAGAACCCTGGGAGTCTAGGTTGTATCCCTGGGGGCTGGGGCGGGGAAGCGGCACCATCCTTCCTGGCTGAGACTCCCCTGTCTCCAGCAGAATGTGAACGAGTTGAACCAGTGGCTGTCAGCCATCCGCAAGGCCAGCATCTGCAATGAGCGCATGCTGCCCTCTTGCCACCCGGGTGCCTTCCGGGGCAACCGCTGGACCTGCTGCCTGCAGCCCGACCGCACAGGTAACTGGCCCCTGCCAGCTACAGGGCTGCTGCAACTTCAGCCCACTGGGCTTGGGCAAGGGAAGGGGCTTTTTCGACCCAGAGACCTCTCTATGCCGCTGCTGCTTCTCCGCTTGGGGATAGGTGGAGCTGGATAAGGGTCGGGAGATCCAGGCCCCTTCCCCCTATAACACCCAGCACAGCTCAAAGTACTTCACACAGGACAGCACTAGCATTACCCGCATTGCACAGATGAGAAACTGAGGTACAGAGCAGGGGAATGACTTGCCCAAGGTCACCCAGCAGGCCTGTGGCAGGGCTGGGAACAGAACCCAAGTCTCCCAAGCTCCACTCAAGTGCTCAATCCACTAGACCGCACTGGCGCAGCCCCTGGGGCTGGGGGAGGGTAGCAAAGGCCACACATCTGCCCCAAGCAGCTGTTAACCCAGCAGCCTGGTGGCAGAGCAGTAGTAGTGGGCCCTGGCGGGAGCCCTGACCAGTCCCCACTGGCTGGGAGGATGGATCTCCCTCACCCATGGCCTTGGGGGTGATGGGGGAGAGGGCTTCCCTGGAGGCTGATTGGCTAGTCAGGAGCAACCCGCTCTGCTCCTAGACCCTTGCAGGCAGGGCCCCTGGCCCACCCCGTACCCTGCATAGCAGCCCCTCCTGCCCACGCCTTGGGGCTCATTGGAACAGTCCTCTCTGTCCTGCCCCCAGTGCACGGCTGCAGCCGGACTCACTCTGCCATGACCCTGGGGGACTGGAGCGACCCCCTCGACCCGGATGCCGAGACCCAGATGGTGTACGGGCAGCTCTTGCTGGCGAGAGACAAGCTCAGGTCAGTGCAGCTGCGGGGCGAGGGCAGGTAATGCCGGCGGGGGCAGGGCCATGACCAGGGGTTGTGCATGGTGGGGGCAGTGGTCACCCTGTGGCTGGCATGGTGGGGGGACTTGCTATGATGAGTAGGGAAGCCATAGAGTCTGGGGCAGGGAGGAGAGCTTGGGCACCAGAGCAGGGGCTACTCCATGTCTGGGCAGGATCGGGGCCCCAGGGAGGGGCGCTGAGTTCTAATCCTGGGGCTCAGGGCGGGGGTGGAGCTGGGGTGGTTCTGAGGGGATGGGGCTGGTTTCAGATGCCCCATCTATTAACTGCCATCCCATTCCCCTTCCCCTCGTCTCTCTGCCAAGCTACTGGGGGGAGCCCCTGCCCCGCCTCCCGGGGAGGAGGGTTTCAGTTGCAGCTGGCATTGATCATTAGCCCAGTTATCTCAGCCTGCAGCGGTCACCACTTTCTCCTGGGAGCAGCCCCTGCTCAAACACTTGTACCCCCCATCCTCTTCCACCCCCAGTAGGGGGCAGCACTAACCTCCGAATAGGGCGTGAGCCGGACTGGAGTGCAGCCTTTGGCTTCATCTTGCCTGGCTTCCCAGTTCCCACCACCAGAGGTCTCCCCTCCCTAAATTGTTACCCTTGAGAAAGCCCTTATGTAGTCAGCAGCTTGAGGAGGGTTACGGGTCTTCCTCCCATGGCCCAAGAGGCTCCTTGGACTCGGGGGATCCCCTGCACCCCACACGGGATCTTGGGATTCCTCCCCAACTGCCCCCTCCCTCTGGGGCTGGGGAGGAAGGGTCCCTCCAGTCCTGACCTGCAGGGATGTTGCCCTCCACCGGAGCTCCTACCCATAGCATCAGATGGGGGCATCCTGTGCCGTTGCAGGGGGGGCCTTGTCTACACTAGGGAAATTAGGAGCCCTAACTGCCCGTTGGTGCTGGCAGCAAGGTGGAAACCGTAGTGTAGCCAGAGCTCAGGAGTTCTCAGTGTTGTGTTGTCTAACCCTGCTTGGAGCAAGTCAGGACGCTTTGGTGGTGGGCGCACCTGAGGAGACCCAGACAGATGTGCTAGGCCTTGCACCTGCTCCTCTTCTGGAGGGTTCTGGAGCACAGAGGCTCCGTCCATCGGTAGCTCGCAGGCTTTTCAGGGCAGGGACCATCCTTCTGTTTGGTGTTTGCACCTAGCACAGTGGGGTCCCTGCAGATGCTGTCACAGGTCATTGGTGTTGATCATCGTTTCTGGGGGCGCGTCTGCCCGGTGTCTCCCCTGCCTGCATGCAGGGTCTCGGGCGGTCTCCCATTGGGGCAGCGTGAGCGGTGACAGGAGTGCTAGTGGGAAATACTGGTTCTGTCACTGAACCCACGCGATCTCCCCAGCACAGGGTGTGCAGGCCTCGAGCCTGTGCCACTGAAGGGAAAGGGGGGGCAATTGAGACAACACCTGGGGGAACCCCTGGGGAGAGCCGCTTCCATCTCATTCCAGCCCCGTAAATGGCCCCAAGGCGAGACTAAAAGGCAGGAGAACCAGTCAGCGACCTGGACCCCAGCAGGTTATGTGGATTCCTGGACACCCTGCTCTAGTAATCTGAGCCTGTAACACCCCAGGGGAGAGGAGAGAGGGAGGGGTCCCAAGCCCTGTGCTCTGAACACCCCTTCTCACCTTTGGTTATTAGATCATTGTATCAGGCGAGCTGGGCTGCGGCCCCATTGCCCTCATGGCTGTTCGGACTAGGTGGGACCGTACAGACTGGGATTGGGGCAGGGGGCCATACAGGCCGGGGTGAGGGGGCCCTTGCATGGGGCCATCAGGACTGGGAGCCCCCTGCGCATGGGGCTGTACAGACCGGGGCTGGGGTGGGGCGGGTATACAATCCAGGACGGTGGGCTCCCTTGCGTGTGGGGCTGTACAGACCAGGGCCAAGGCAGGGGGGCCGTACGGACTGGGGTGGAGGGTACGCTTGCGTGTGAAGCTGTACAGACCAGGGCCAGAATGGGGGGGGGCGTACGGACCAGGGTGGGGGACTCCCTTGCGTGTGGGGCTATAAGGGCCAGGATGAGGGGTTGGCATACAAGACCGGGGTGGGGAATTCCTGGCACATGGGGATGTACAGACAGACAGTAGCTAATGCCCCTGCCCCTAAGAACTCACGTGTCTCCTCTCTCCACAGGGAGAAGTACATTGAGTGTTCAGATGTGGGGCTGGCGCTGGAGCAGGAGAGGGGGCCTGGTACTCGTGCCCAGGGAGGTATGGAGCCCCCTCCCCACCAGAGCACTCAGCTAGGGATGCCAACTATCTACTAGTACAAAACCGAACGCCCTTGCCCCGCCCCCACCCCGTTCCTCCTCTTAGGCCCCGCCCCTGCCCAGGCCCTTCTCCGAGGCCCCACCTCCTGCTCACTCCATCCCTCCCACCCTCTTGCTCACTCTCCCGACCCTCACTCACTCGCTCATTTTCACCGGGCTGAGGTGTGGGAGGGGGTGAGGGCTCTGGCTGGGGGTGCGGGCTCCGGGGTAGGGCCAGAAATGAGGCGGTCAGGGTGCGGGAGGGGCTCCGGGCTGAGGCAGTGGGTTGGGATGCGGGAGGGGGTGAGGGCTCTGGGGTGGAGCTGGGGATAAGGGGTTTGAGGTGCAGGAGGTTGCTCCAGGCTGGGATCCCCACTGCACTGCAGAGCTGCCCTGGGGGTCGGGGAGGGCAGGTCTGCGCTGCACTGGGGGCCAGGGGCGCCAGCTCTGCGCTGCACCGGGGGCGACAGCTCTGCGCTGCACCGGGGGCCGGGGGCGGCAGGTCTGCGCTGCACCGGGAGCCGGGGGCGGCAGCTCTGCGCTGCACCGGGGGCCGGGGCGGCAGGTCTGCGCTGCACCGGGGGCCGGGGCGCAGCTCTGCGCTGCCGACCGGGGGC